TTATGTTACTTGAGTCGCATTTGCATGTTCTTAGACAAGAAAACGGCCGTGCTTATAATTGGCTTAATCTTGAGTGAAACTTAACCATCTTTCTAGGAACCGGAGCCTGTAATCTAAGAGTCGGCCGTACTTTACTAATAGGGCAACAATGCGCAGGAGAGGAGACCCTTTTGTGGCCTACTAGAGCGACCTATTCATACCGAACTACAATAACGTTGATCAGCGCCTGATCATGCAAAAGCTAGCGCAGCAAAGCCCTGTGTCATGTCCCCACTGTCATGTAATGCCATTTTAAATTATCGCCAAACAAAACTTACAAAATACCTCCCTAAAGCTCACTCTAAACGTTATCACTCAGAGAAATTATGCTGGTATTTGGGGGGTTGTTTTTTGTATAAGAGCACTGCAAGGTTTTGCGCAAACAAAAATTTGACCTTCTCTATTCATGTAACCATATCATGGCAAGAACAGCAAGAACACAACTCGAAGGGCGACATCTGGTATTTGGAGAATATTTACGGAGCTGAACAACTCTAATCGTGCACTATCGAAGGTGAACTTAACATCGATGGAGGTAAGCATGTTCTAGCTTTGTTTTTAGACTAGAAATTATTTTGAATGAACAATAAAACAATTATTGAATTCGGATTTCGTATCATATGAAGAATTAGTATGTACACACTCAGTAGTATAGGAGGGACCTGTTACTCCGGTTTTTTGGGGAGGATTCTCATTAAGGTGGGGAGGAATACATTAACGCCGATGACGTCATAGGCTATTGTCTTGATCTCATGAATAAAATGCGCAGGAATCTCATTAAGATAAGGTCGTGTGCTATTTTAAGTTGGTTTGGGTTTTCTAGTTACTTTAAGGTCGATAAACGTCTTCGTTTTCTATTGGTTAGTTAGAAAATAAGAGAAGTTTTCATTGGTTAATTCATAGTGCCTGAGGAGTGAAGTCAAACTTGTCTCTGACTTAAAATCACTGAGACGTAACGTAATTATGCAAGTTCTATTTCCTGCTGCTGCGATTGTCCTGGTTCCGGTTCACTGATTTTTGGCAGGTAAATCGTGCATATTAATGAGGGCAAAGGCCAACTAGCTCTTTTTTACACTGCAAACAATGTTTTACTCACCCCTCTCCTTTTCATTTTTTTTACTTTCCTCCTCCTCCACAATTTTATTATTTTCGTTCCTCAATTCCCTCCTCCTCCTCCTCATTTTTATTGTTTTCCCTCCTCCTCCTCCTCCTCCTCCTCCTCCTCCTCCTCATTTTTGTTTTCACTCCTCCTCCTCCTCCCCATTTTTTGTTTTCCCTCCTCCTCCTCCTCCTCATTTTTGTTTTCCCTCCTCCTCCTCATTTTTATTGTTTTCCCTCCTCCTCCTCCTCCTCCTCCTCATTTTTGTTTTCCCTCCTCCTCCTCCTCCCCATTTTTTGTTTTCCCTCCTCCTCCTCGTCCTCCTCATTTTTGTTTTCCCTCCTCCTCCTCCTCCTCCTCCTCATTTTTATTGTTTTCTCTCCTCCTCCTCATTTTTATTGTTTTCCCTCCTCCACCTCACTTTGATTGTTTTTCCTGTTCCTCCCTATTTTGATTGTTTTGATAGGGTCGATGTGGGGTCGATGTAGGGTCGATGTGGGGTCGATGTGGGGTCGATGTAGGGTCGATGTGGGGTCGATGTAGGGTCGATGTGGGGTCGATGTAGGGTCGATGTAGGATCGTTATTGTTTTCCCTCCTCCTCCTCCACATTTCTATTGTTTTCCCTCCACCACCACCACCACCGCCACATTTCTATTGTTTTCCCTCCACCACCACCACCACCACCGCCACCACATTTCTATTGTTTTCCCTCCACCACCACCACCACCACCGCCACCACATTTCTATTGTTTTCCCTCCACCACCACCACCACCACCGCCACCACATTTTTCTTGTTTCCCTCCTTGAGTTTGGCCTTTTAGGCCTGATTTTGGCCTCTTTGGCCTTTTGAGGGAAACAAGAAAAATGTGGTGGCGGTGGTGGTGGTGGTGGTGGAGGGAAAACAATAGAAATGTGGTGGCGGTGGTGGTGGTGGTGGTGGAGGGAAAACAATAGAAATGTGGCGGTGGTGGTGGTGGTGGAGGGAAAACAATAGAAATGTGGAGGAGGAGGAGGGAAAACAATAACGATCCTACATCGACCCTACATCGACCCCACATCGACCCTACATCGACCCCACATCGACCCTACATCGACCCCACATCGACCCCACATCGACCCTACATCGACCCCACATCGACCCTATCAAAACAATCAAAATGAGGAGGAAAAGGAAAAACAATCAAAGTGAGGTGGAGGAGGGAAAACAATAAAAATGAGGAGGAGGAGAGAAAACAATAAAAATGAGGAGGAGGAGGAGGAGGGAAAACAAAAATGAGGAGGAGGAGGAGGAGGAGGGAAAACAAAAAATGGGGAGGAGGAGGAGGAGGAGGGAAAAAAAAATGGGGAGGAGGAGGAGGAGGGAAAACAAAAATGAGGAGGAGGAGGAGGAGGGAAAACAATAAAAATGAGGAGGAGGAGGGAAAACAAAAATGAGGAGGAGGAGGAGGAGGGAAAACAAAAAATGGGGAGGAGGAGGAGGAGGAGGAGGAGGAGGAGGGAAAACAATAAAAATGAGGAGGAGGAGGAGGGAATTGAGGAACGAAAATAATAAAATTGTGGAGGAGGAGGAAAGTAAAAAAAATGAAAAGGAGAGGGGTGAGTAAAACATTGTTTGCAGTGTAAAAAAGAGCTAGTTGGCCTTTGCCCTCATTAATATGCACGATTTACCTGCCAAAAATCAGTGAACCGGAACCAGGACAATCGCAGCAGCAGGAAATAGAACTTGCATAATTACGTTACGTCTCAGTGATTTTAAGTCAGAGACAAGTTTGACTTCACTCCTCAGGCACTATGAATTAACCAATGAAAACTTCTCTTATTTTCTAACTAACCAATAGAAAACGAAGACGTTTATCGACCTTAAAGTAACTAGAAAACCCAAACCAACTTAAAATAGCACACGACCTTATCTTAATGAGATTCCTGCGCATTTTATTCATGAGATCAAGACAATAGCCTATGACGTCATCGGCGTTAATGTATTCCTCCCCACCTTAATGAGAATCCTCCCCAAAAAACCGGAGTAACCGGTCCCTCCTATACTACTACACTCAGTGATCTTGGTGAATTAAGCAATCTGATTGGCTCGCTATCTCGGACTATTCAACAATATCCACCTCCTAGCGAGTGGATAATGTGTGAACTCGGTTTTTCCCCATTTTTATAGAGAAAGTTCTTTTAAAAGTAGACAAAATCCTAGGGTTGACTTCTTTTTAGGCAAGACAAGACTTCGAAGGATTCAAAACGGCGTTTTTCCATTTACTGTAGTTGAGTATTGTGGTCGATGGATTGTTTACAACTCCCGTTTACTAGCCTAGACGAAGCCGTTTCGTGAGCTCACCGTTTCCTAACACGAAAAATTAAGCTCAAAAACGAAGTTTATTTAAGGAAAACGAATTTGAAAGCAAATGTTTGCAGAAATTCTACGTTCCAAGTAAATAGGAGAAAGACGAAGTCTTACCTCGAGGAACCGAATCGCCATTTTTGTCAGCACAGTCATGTGAAGAACGACACAACAAACCTTTTCGGCTGTAAACTTGGCGAGTCAACACTATTTCAAAGAATAATTGTTAATTATGGAGATCTCGGAGGGTGTTATCCGGCTTGGCATATGGCCTCGACGGATAACACCCTTCTCGATCTCCATAATTCTTCATAAGATACCCTGTCTCATTCATTAATTGTTAATTATTATTCATTCAAAATATTTCACCGATTCTGATTGGCTAAAAGCACACGTTTAATTCACCATAACCAGTTACTGATGACCAAATTTGGAAGAAATTTGACTTTAACGAGGAAATGACGTCAAAAATGCAGCGTTTTCGCAGGTTAAGGCACCGTTAACCTAGAAGACCAGGGGAAGAGGTTGAGTTGTTTTGGTTATGAACTTGAAAAAATTGCGGACGTTTCACTCGTTTCAAGAGTAAGAACTAGGCGAAAAAATACATAAAAACATGGCAAGAACAGCAAGAAGGGCGACATCTGCTATTTAGAGAATATTTGCGGAGGTGGACAAACCTAAACGTACACTATCGAAGATGAACTGAACATCGATGGATCGATGGAGGTAAGCATGTTTTAGCTATGTTTTTAAACTAGGAATTATTTTGAATGAATAATAAAACAGTTATTGAATTCGGCTTTCGTATCATATGAAGAATTATGGAGATCTTGGAGGGTGTTATCCGCCTCGGCCTACGGCCTCGACGAATAACACCCTCCTCGATCTCCATAATTCTTCATAAGATACTCAGCCTCATTCATTAACTGTTAAATAACCCAATCAAAAATTCTTCCAAATGTAACCTGGTTAAAATAGCTTAGTAGGGTTAATTTTTATGAGCGGCCGGACTCAAGCGTGTGAAGAAAGAAAAGTTGAATTTGGACGCAAGGTGGAAGGAGTAAATTTCCAAACTGAAGTACTTGCACGCATGGTAAACTAAGCCTAAATGAGAAAATTCCCGCGAAAGCATTGAAACGCCCTAGCTCTTAGTAGTTCATTTAGAGTCAAAGCAAGAAGAAGTGGGTCGATACCTAGTTCTCCTGAACTTGACTCTTAGGATCGTCATCGAATTGCAACTTGACCTTAGTTTACTAAAGGGCGATCTGTTTTGAAAACACTCTAAATCTGTTAAAAAGAATCACGGTTCATTCTATGCTATTCTGTAATTAGGAAATTTGCCGGACGACTCTCTCCTCCGACTCATACGGCCTGTTCGCCCTCTATCTTCCAATGGAACAGCGCGTCAGTTTTGATTTTTGTCAATGCCGTGTTAATTTCTATCAAATGTGCAATTTCTAGGATTACTTATCCCCTCTGTAATAATTTCGTCACTCTGACCGAACAAGAAAAGTAAATGGGCAAATACATAACAAATCTGAACTATCATTTCACTTTATGTTTCTTGTGTACAGTCGTTCCTGAAGAGATTAATTTACGTGGTCCCTTAGCTGTGGAAGCCTATAACAAGGCCCTTAATGAAGGGAAAACTCGTTTCAAGAGGTTGCCGATCATGGTGATTGGACAAGATCGCTCCGGAAAAACCAGCCTTAAGAATTCCATGATGGGAAAACCTTTCAACCCAGACGAGGACAGCACAGTGGGGATAGATGTTGGACCATCACATTTTAGTGTTACAACAGATATATGCATGCCAAGTGAGAATACAGTGGGCAATCAAACACAGAATGATTTCAGAGAAGCCCTCTCTTTTGAGCACCACATAGCTCGTTTAGTCGTTGAAGTTTTAACTCATTACAGAAAAAATAATTCAAAGGATGACTTGCCACCAAATGAGGCAAAAGTTGCATTATCAAGTGTGGCATCAAAAAATGCAATAGAAACTGTTCAAGAATCTGGTGCAGATTTCGCAGCTCGCCAAGAAGAAGAAAACTGGATAGTAAAGATACCAGATGAGGTAGTAGAGAAGATAAAAAACTTACGAGAGGAATTTGAGAAAGAGAGAGTTGGAGATGATGCGGAAATGTATTCAATTGTTTGGGATTTTGCTGGACAACCTGTATACTATGCAACGCATCCACTTTTCCTCACACAAAGAGCAGTGTACCTGTTAGTTTTTGACCTCAGCCGAGGTCTTCATGCAAGAGCCGATCTCACTGTAAAGCAAGGAATGTACAGCATGATTTTAGACAACCACGATTGTAAAAGTAACCTAGACTATCTGGATTTCTGGATGACATGGGTTGCTTCAATAGCCAATCAAGATGAAAACCAGCAGATACGTTTGGATCAATCACCAATGAATATTCCCCCAGTGTTCCTTGTTTGTACTCATGCTGATGAACCCTGTGGTGGAGCAGATCCATTTGTGCTAGCACGTGAAGTATTTGGTTCCTTGGAGACCAAGCCTTACAAAAACCAGTTGTATCAAGACGTTTTTGTTGTGGATAACACAAAGTCAGGAAGCAAAGCAGAGTGTTCAGAAGTTAAGCGCTTGTGGGAAAAAGTCCTTGCTGTTGCTAAGGAGCTACCACAGATGAAAGAAGACTACCCGATAAAGTGGCTAAGATTCGAAAAGGCTCTTCAAACCACAGTAAAAGAGGGGAAAAAGTGGATTTCCCTGGAGGAGACAAGGCTGATTGCGTCCAAACTGTGTCTCATTGAGGATGATAAAGGATTTGCAACCTTGTTGAACTTTCTACATGACCAGAGAATCTTGATTCATTTTGACAGTTCACCACTTTTGAATAATATGGTCATCTTGGATCCTCAGTGGTTGGTAGACTTGTTTACGTCGGTGATAACCGTAAAGCCGGGTCCCTATGAAGGAAAAGAAAGAAAATTGTGGAGAAGGCTTCAGACAGAGGGCATCTTGGAGTATAAACTTTTGGAACTTGTGTGGGATCCTTTATTAATTCCAAAAGAAATCTTTCCGAGCCTTCTTGAAATCATGGAGAAATTCAGCTTGCTTTGTCCTTGGCCATCACCAGATGCTTCATGTGGCAAGCAGTATCTCGTGCCCTCCATGCTAATGTCTCATCCACCAAGAAATATTATCAAGTTGGTAGCCTCCGCACAAATTCCATCCTTTTATATAAGGTTCAAATCTGGGCAGGTTCCTCCAGGCTTTTTTCCCCGACTGGTGTTGCAGTTTTTTCAGTGGGGCCAAGACGAATTTTGGAGTGCAGAGAATCCTCAGTTGTACGCTAATTTTGCACGGTTTTACACCTCTGAAAATGACGACTGCTCTGTAATTCTTCGATGCCATTCGTCGTGTATTGAAGTTGTGGTTCACAGAGGAAATGTCAGTGCAAACCTGACAGAATCTTTTCAATCCAACCTAAACCTGTCGGCAGTTCCCAACTATCATGGATTTGAAGAGCGGTGTGCTCGTGCCGTGCGAAGACAACTGGCGTTGACTCTTGAGTGTATGCGAGAAGAATTCTTTTGGTTTAATAACATGAGATATGAAGTAGGTGTGATCTGCCCCGTTTGTTGCCAAGAACGTAAAGCTAATTACTGCTGCAAACATCACAAGCAGTGGTGTTGTGAGCAAGAGGAATGTCTGCACTTCCTGTCTGAGTCTGACTTACGTAAGGCCAAAGACTTCATCAGGTGTCGCAGGTGTCCTACTGCAGAAAGTGACAAAGTTCACGTCAAACGGTTTGCACCTTGGTTTGAAACTTCAGATGAACAGGTGAATAGACTCTAACTCTTGCTGTAAATTACTTGAAAACATTTACTACCAAACCCGGTTATATTTTATCTATTCCTAAAGGGTCAGTCTTTGGTTATCTCAGACACTCCAGTCAAACACTCTCGCTTTTTTAAACCTCAGTATTTTCTCACGACAGCGATTACAACAAACGTATTAGAAAGAGTGAAACCCGTATTAAGTGGTCCCCACATTAAGCGAACAGGATCATGAATGAGTCCTACTCTTTTCTCTCCTTATTACCTGTAAAACCAATCCGGTTTTAGTGGACATCTCGATCTACCACACTAGCGATGGTCCCGTGGGTGTACGCTTAATACAGATTTATGTAACGTTTTCTAAATGCACTGTTGGTTAAGACCGCAGGAAATCACTGGCACTTGTTGCTTTACAAGTGATGTTTAGAGACAGTCCTGAACACCACATGTAAAGCAGCAATAGGCCCTTTTAAGCTAGGTGACTTTCAGTACACTACCTCCCACCATACCCCCCTCCTCTTCGCCAGCCCACAAGGCAACTTTGATCCATAAGATAGCGTTCAGAGCACTTAAAATCAACCTTGTTTAATTGTCTCTTCCTTCTTTGTTACAGGCTATAGCTGACGAAAGTGAGCCAAGACCTTCAGCTTCTGGAGGAGGTAGGACTGCCACACTGATAGGGTGGATGGATAATGTAAACGAGGGAACTTACTTATTGTGTGTAATTAAAACCATTCCGACAAAAATATTCGTCTCTTGGACATATCTTAATCCACTTTTAGCATCCCCTGGTAGTTATCTTTATATTGCAAACTTGGTAGCCTTCGAAATGACTAGAATATCGCAAACAAACCACTCTGTCCTTGCCGAGGATAGCGCTACAAAGCGCCTGTGCTTTTTTTACCAAGTCTGAATGCTGCAAGTCGAACATAAAGTTGTAAAAAATCATTGCCTTTCGCAGGAATTGATGAAAAGTTGCTTGTACTTTCAAGCAAGGCTATAGAAACACTCATGTCGCAGTAAAAAATCATTGCCTTTCGCAGGAATTGATGAAAAGTTGCTTGTACTTTCAAGCAAGGCTATAGAAACACTCATGTCGCAGCAGTGTGACTCCAGAGAGGTAGTACTTCAACTGAAAGACTGTTTGAAACTGGATGATGTTTCCTTAAAGAATCCAGACCCTGAGACCAAACGATTGATTCGTTGCCTTGCAAATAAAGCAAAACAGTCCAACAGACCTGACGTGGTCAGAGAATTGAGAGAGGTTGCACCGGCTGGAACTACAGGTATAAAGTTTGTTGTGGGGGTTAATGTAAGTACGGACGCGGAGATAATATTTTGGATTGCTGGGGAAAGCTCGCGGTTAGAGCGAGTTCAGCGAGTGGGGAAGGCGCGAGTTTATCTAGGAGAGTCCAGGCATGCTTCTCCGGAAAATTTTGAAATATAGAGTTTCTGAAATCAACGGAAATGCCTGAGAAAATTTTGCAAAATTTTTCATCACCATTCTGTAAGTTTTCTGAACAAAAACACATATTTAGCGATAAAATGTGTTTAAGATTAGAAGTACTTTTGCAAATGCAAGAACATTAAAAACGGCACAATTATTGGTTTGGCTATAGCCCACCAGCCCCATAACTCCCTGATCCCCCGACCTGCTTAATGAAATATTGTTCATGAGCAACGCACAGGTCAGGATTAAAAGAGGCAATGATGAAGCTTGCGGGATAAGGAATAGATCCCACACACCACAGGATAGGAAGATAATCATCATGTGAAGAAAAGTTTGCTCAGTATTGGTGATTCTTTAAAACAAGGACAAAAAATGTTCCGAAACATTTCCGTAAGAACAATAGCACAGTCCGAACATTTTACTGTCCGGGGATATTTGACCGAGGCGTATGCAATATCGGCAGTATAGACTGTCTTTCAGAGCAGTTGCTTAAATCAGCAATAGCTTTACTGTGTTTCTTTTCTTGGCCTTGTTTTAAAAAATCTTCCTTCTAAACAAGGCGGGTTAAAAATTTCAAGAAAAAACAAAAATAATGTCCGTAAAAAATGTGCGAAAGTTGTTTTTCACTCAGTTTTTGTCTCAAGAGTAAATTTCTCTATCCCATTCCTTCTTTCTTTTAGATCCATTTTGTTAATTTCTTTAAGCCCTGCACTGATTTGTTACCCTTTTTGACCTCGCTCTCTTTCCTGTAGGTCCTTTGTTGCCTGAGTGTCTTGATGTTATGAATATACCTACTTCTCAGATACAGAGACTTACAGTTCATTTAAGCGGTGAGTGTCATTTATTTTGTGACAGGTTCATCAGTAATTCTCATTTTTGGAATTAAAAGACAGCTCAGAATGGTTACAGAGAAATAACTTTCGTTATAATTGTACTGACCTCTGTGAGTGAATGCACTATCAGATTGTATGTGATCTTTCGAATCTTTTAGTTGCACCTTAGAGTGACGTTTCTCGGGTTATTAGCAGTATATGCTAGAGGCCTAACTAGCCTCATGTAAAGCCGAGGGTAAATAAAGTTTATTTGTCAACTTTCACACCTAGAATGCACATTAACAATGTTTTGACACTATTTTATCTTTAATATGAGGGTAGACAGACAAAACAAAACTGGCGTCAGTTTGTTGATTAGAAGCGCTGCACTCGCTATTAGCTTGGAGGGAAAAAATGGAATCTAAATGATCGCGGGCAGTTTTTAAGTTTTTATCTTTTAGTATGGTAATTATCATATTCCTTGAAAGAAAATTGCATTGTTCCTTTTTGTAGGAGGACAGGAGTGGAAGCAGCTTGCTGAAAAACTGGGCTTGGCTCCACACGAGATTCGTTTCCTTGATAACCGGGTAATGAACCCGTGTGAAGCTGCCATAGCGTTTATTGCTAGACAGCGATACATCACTGTGGGAGAGCTGTATGACACGATAAGCGAGTGTGGGCTGCCTGTCTTTGCAGACATTCTATAAGGTGGACATGACGCAGTTAAAGTACAACTTAGAAATATAGTCAAACCCCGCTTTACGGACACCCGCTTAATACGGTCACCTCATTAATACGGACAGTTTACTTTGTCCCTGGTAGCCTGCGAGCAAGCTCTCCTATTTGGGCAAGCAAAGCGAGCCTCATGAGAACGCGCGAGCTTTCTCGCGAGACTCGCCAACCTCGTCCCCAGGGCTTTTCCCTTAATCACCCATTTTTTAAGGGAAAAGCCCTGGGGACGAGGTTGGAGACTCGCTCCACTCTCCCAAATACGAGAGCTTGCTCGCAGGCTATGTCCCTGGTGAAAGGAAGCCCCTACATTTTCTCTCAATTCAACCCTGTTCATACGCCTGGACACTTTCTATGGCCCCCTTAGTGTCTGTATTAACGGGCTTTGCCTGTATTTTTAACCTGTAATTTATCTCATCTTAAAAACATTTTAAGGTAACAGTTATGGTAGATAATCCAACGCTAATCCCGGCGGTCAGTTGGATCGTGTCTAAATACATGTACAAAAGACAACTAGTGGAAAACTAAGTAAGGAAGCTATATTTTTGTAGATCAGAGAACTAAAATGGCGATTTTTTTAGATGTAGTTTTGTAAAAGCTTCCTCAAGTAAACACCTCGGGAATTGATAAATCTTGTCAGCTCAACTAGAGTTATTAGTTTTTCTAAAATGGGATCTCACAAGCGACCATGTCATGAACCTTTTGAGGGCGTTTGCTTACGAGAGCTTTTAGCAGAAACTCTTTGATATGTTAATTAGTAGTTACAAATGGCTTTGTAAGAATGATATTATTTGAATATTTTTTATACCTATCACTCACGAAGTTAATGATAGTAGTCCAAGTGGCCGCTAACGAGAACTTAAAAACAGAGGACAAGACCAGCCGGTAATTCACAAAAGTAGTGGTGGTCGCTTACTAGAGTTTTACTACAAGTTCAAACGACTTTGAAACGAATTTTCACGATGCTGGTCATAACTGGTCGCTTACAAGTGAGATTGAAGTGAGTGGTCGCAAGGAGAGCTTCGATCGTATCAAAAATTAACTATACCTTCAAATGAAGTATAACAGAAAAGTCAGAGCGACAAGAAACAAAGAGAGTGAAGATTACAACATTTGTGTTGATTCCTCAAATGCCTAAATGGCAAATAAATTTCAGTTTTAAAACACATAGGAACAGCACGGAAAAGACGGTAACATGAATTTTAAAGGTTGTTGCAAAACTGATACCCTGGCCGGTGTACCAGGGGTTTTCATGCGCGTGCGGTAGAATGTGTCGGGGTCGGGCGAAGGTTGAAGCCACGAGAGGCCAAGTCGCGAAAAAAACTCCTGATACCCAGTGTTTCGCCTGGGTCACTACAAAGACTTTGACCGAAAGCGGAAACCCCGCATGAAACTCTCATGCAGCCAGGGTACAAAACTAAGTGTTTCAAACTGATTTTCATTTTTCAACCGCTGTAGATTTATGGAACTGTCTGCCAGCTAGTAATAAAAAAAATTGACTAGTTATCAGGAGTGTAGCTGGGACTTTTGTAGAGGTACGCACACAGCTGCGGCTCTCGCTTGTGGGAAAATCGGGGATAACACTTCATTAGAAACTATCTGTAGCTGAGACATGTGGGCTGAATTCCACCATTTTATAGCTACCTCTTGGTCATCTTCCCTTCACTTTCTTTGATTTTATTAATTATTTCACTTTATTATCTATTTAGTTTCAACATTTTTTCCAGGTACGCACATGCGTACTGTATGGAGCATAGTACAGTTGGCTACGCCCCAGGTTAAATCCCCTGTACCAGCTAGCGTTGACCAAATTTGGAAGTCGTTAAAGCGAGTTTCAAACAGTTAAGGCGCTTTAAGGGTTCTTGTATCTAGATAAAGGATAAATTCATAGCACTATTTGATAGAGGTTATAAAAAATATTTACTAGTGTTTATATGAGTGTGCTTAATATAGGTTATAAAAATGCTGTTTTAGAACAATGTGATTCAAATCGTTATTTTTATATCATATATCTATAGTTTACATCTACATTTTTCCATTTTTCTCTTTTCCTTTTTAGCCATAAGAAATTTTCTTCTTATATAAAGGAGCTTTTCGAATGTTGTGTATAAACTTACCAAACTGTGCTGTTCAGACTTCTCATTTCTCAATGACCAGGGGTCCGTTTCTCGAAAAGCTGTTCTATGTTTGCCGAGTTGGCATTTAAGATCAAAGTTTTAATAATTTAGAAATTGATACAATTAAATTATCAGTTAACGACGCAAAATTGGCCTGTTTGTGAGCTACGAACTGTGTTACAATTCAACAGGTTTTGATTTCAAAATCTGCCTCCGGACCCGAACAGTTACCGGGCCTTTCGAGAAACGGGCCCCTGGCCTTTGAATATAGAAGCGAGGCTGGAGATGACCTTAAGGAGCGCTTACTATTTGTACGGAAATTTCGATGAAAATTTTCGTCAAATGCTTCTGGAATTGAGTTTTACCATTTACAAAATACAGGTAAATTTTTCGCTTTCTCTCGACATGAAGCCCGGCACTAGTAATCCAAACAAATGGTACAGAAAATTTCGGTTGTTTCGGGAAAAACGGAAAAAAGGTAATACTTCGAATGGTATTCCTTTTTTTCCGGAAAATTTCCACCGGGATGAACCGTTCCATTTGAATTCTCCGCGAAATTTCCTGGTTTTCCGTACAAATGGTAAGCGCTCCTTGTTTGAGTCACAAACCTTAATAAACTGTGTTTTACATGCAACTGATCACAGGTTTCTAGAAAGAGAATGAAACTATTTGCATATAAAAAACAGGAAGGTTTGTAACATGACAACTCCCTTCCATTTAAAGCCAAAGGCACTGCGCACACAACGATAAAATGGCCTGGACCCATTTGTTCAAAGGTTAAATAGCGCTATCATTATCCAGTGGACAAGTATTAAGGGAAACCAATTGCGCTATCCAATATATGGCGATTTATCCGGTAGATAACGTTATCCACCTTTTGTACAACTATGGCCTGTTGAGTTGGTTATTAAAATATGAATATAAAGAGAGTTCTTTGTTTTATAGGACCAAAAGTAACAATCTGCATTAAAAGTGTGTGAAATCATGTGTTATTTTTCTCAGTTTTGTGAATTGACGTTGATTAACCCGGGAATAATAATAGGGACTTAAAGAACTTGCGCTCTTTCAGTCTTTATCGCGATTATTCGTACCCACTTACTTTGTCAAATGTAGGCGAACCCTCCTGAAGTTGAATTCCAAGGGACCATATCCACGTTCAGAAAGAGAAATAAAATTTCATCGGTGCTTGTTTATGTTCTCCATAAAACGCGAATTAGGCATTTTCACGTTGTACTCGTTCAAAAGCGGCAAAGAAATGTGCAAAAAAAGAATGATGCACGTGCAAACTTTTTGTTGTTTTGCTCATTAAACATTTTTTTTGGCGTTGTGTCGTTGGCTGAAAACCCGTTCAACCTAGCCTGCGTTCTGGTTCATCGGTTATTAAAGTACGAGAAAGCTGAGGTTTTTTAGTGTGTTTTTTCTTTTGTGGTTCGAAAAGTAAGACGAGTTACAGCCACGTGAAAGCTAAACCGAGGTCGAAACAGAACACGCCACTCGCACATTTCCCATACTGCACCTTTTTGCCCTCCAAAATTTTGCGTAAGTATTGTTTTCAATTTCCTTTGGGACGGCTGCAATACCCAAGAGGAATGATATATAGAGCGTCTGCGAACTGGTGCACAATATCGTGTTTGAATCCCTCAGAGTCGCAAAAACATATGTGGGCGTTTTTGATTGGCTAGTCGGCTAGGATGCAATTTTGGCGCAGCATTGACAGGCACTCCATAGCTACGAAAGAGAAAACTCTTTGATGATATCACTTTTAAATAACCGATCTTTACTAATCTCAATAAAATAGATAAAAAAATTGTTTCTTTTCAATAATGTAGACCCATTCATTTGTAAATTTCGACGCTGATTTAATTCTGCGATTCCACTTTTGTCGCCATAAATAGCACGGCAAAAGGACTCCAACTGCGTGAGGAGATCTTGTGATGTACACCAGTTTTTAGACCGTTCACTGTCCCCTATCTTTTGGAAGATCGTCATGATTAATAGTCTCCTTTGCAGCCGTTATTAGGGTAGTCACGCAACGCTCCTCCCCAATAACGACCCTAATAACAGCTGCGAAGGAGACTACATGATTGAGCGAATACCGATTCGGGCGGCCATCTTGCCGTTTCCTGATATATGTACCGAGGGGCCGGCTCCCAAAGCAGATTTGACACTCACGATCATCCAAGATGGCCACTCGTAACGCAAAGTCTTTGATCTCGACGATCTTAAGGAAAAATAGGGGACTGTGCATGTATAGTCTAACCAGTCTTTGTTAACTTGCTAAAAGATTTGCTGATACTAATTGTTAGATTGGACGAGGCAGTTTGAAAAGTCTCAGATGCCAATTCCAGCGAAAGCACTGTCTGAATCATACACAGCCCATGAAAGCGAGCATTTCTGGTAGGGCCTTACAGATACCATAGCCAATGAGGCTGGCAACCTGGTGGATGTCGATGTAACGTGCGTGAAATTGTAAAATTAAAGTACCAGTGAAACATTTGGTACATCAATCTTGTGCAAAAAAGCAAGATGGAGTATCTGGGCCATCTGAAGAGCGACGATATCTTATTCTAAGGCTAGTTTTGCCGCGTTGCCAGCATGTAGAATTGATTATTCATGAGGATGTCCGCTTGTTCTTGGTTGTGACCGTTTTGTTCTTTTGCCTATTCTTGTCCTTCGTGAAATACCCTAGACTAGCTGTCCCTGCAAAATGAAGTCTTACTGAATTAGATTTTTCTCAAAAAAGTAGGGGGGGCACACGGCTTATCTCCCCTACTCTTACTCCTACGACATTGATAAATCTCGCCAAAATGTCTTTGAAATAGCTCTAGAGGAGAACACAAATAATTGAAGACAACAAAAAA